CAAGTGGGTATTTGCAAAGAAAGATGGATCTCATAACAAGAAAGATGTTCGCTACAAGGCACAGTTGGTAGCTAAAGGCTACGCTCAAAAGGAGGGAATTGACTACAATGAAGTATTTTCCCCTGTTGTGAAGCATTCCTCCATTAGAATAGTGTTGGCCTTGGTAGCACAGTTGAATTTAGAGCTAGCTCAACTTGATGTAAAGACGGCTTTCTTGCACGGAGATTTAGAAGATGAGATCTATATGACTCAGCCAGAAGGATACAAAGATGGTGGTTGTGAGAAATAGGTTTGTAAAATGAACAAATCACTATATGGATTGAAGCAATCTCCGAGGCAGTGGTACAAGCAATTTGATAGCTTTATGAGGAGGCAAAAGTTCACTGGAAACAAATATAATCATTGTGTGTATTTACAAAAACTCAAAGATGGGTCTTTCATTTATCTTCTCTTGTACGTTGACGATATATTGATCGCTTCAAAGAGTCAAAATGAGATAGACAAATTAAAGGCTCAATTGAATCAAGAGTTTGAGATGAAAGATCTAGGTGAGGCCAAGAAGATTCTTAGTATGGAGATAAGCAGAGATAGACAGAGAGAGAAGCTTTGTTTAACAAAGAAACAATATCTGAGAAAGGTACTACAATGTTTTGGCATGAATAAAAATACCAAACATGTAAGTATCCCACTGGCTTCTCATTTGAAACTTAGTTCTTAATTATCTCCTAAAACTAATGAAGAACGGGGTATATGGCAAAAGTTTCATATGCTAATGCAGTTGGGAGCTTGATGTATGCAATGGTGTGTATGTGTCCTGACATTTCACAAGCAGTTAGAGTTGTGAGCAGGTACATGCATGATCCTAGAGAATGACATTGGCAAGCTGTGAAATGGATTCTACGGTATCTCTAACAAACCGTGGATGTTGTTTTAGTTTTTTAACAGGATGAAGCACTTGGTTAGTGTGTGGTTGGATATATTGATTCCGACTATGTTGGTGATTTGGATAAGCGTCGATCAACTACTGTTATTTGTTTACTCTTGCTAAAGCCCCAGTAAGTTGGAAGTCTACTTTGCAATCTACGGTGGCTTTGTCTACTACAGAGGCATAATACATGGCAATTTCAGAAGCTGTGAAGGAAGCAATTTGGCTTAACGGGTTGATAGAAGACTTGAGAGTTGTTCAAAGTCACATTAGTCTCTATTGTGAGAGTAAGAACGCTATTCACTTAGCGAAAAATCAAGTTTACCATTCAAGGACTAAGCATATCGATGTGAGGTATCACTTTGTACGGGAGATCTTTGAAGAAGGAAAGATTATACTTCAAAAAATTGTGACATCAGAAAATCTTGCAGATATGATGACTAAGGTGGTAACAGTAATCAAGTTCAATCATTGTTTGAACTTGATTAATATCCTGAAAGTATGAACACCTTCGGGTGTATGGTGCTTGTAAGCGCAATTAGAGGCACTACAAATTTGGGGAGTTGAAGAAGTTGAGTATGCTTGGTGATTTCAAACCAAGGTGGAAATTTGTTAGATTTGACTTGAAATTAAGTTGGCAAGTTGGAAATTTCATCTTTGTTGGTGACCAACTTTTTGGAAAATTCATCTTGGTTGGTGGCCAACTTAATGGAAAATTCTTTGGTAGGTGACCAACTTATTTTTCATGTTTAATCCTTAAAATATTAGGTTATTTATAAGTTTAGTCCTTAAAACTCAACTATAAATAGGCCTAAGTATTTCATTAGAAATCATCCCAAAACAAGTTCTCTCTTCCTCTTGTTTTCTTCATTCTCTCTTTGGGAATTCTAAAGAATTCCATTTGTTGTAATATTTGTTGATAGTGAAGTTATCATCTGGTGTGGTGCCTGAGGAGTAGACGATATTCTCGTTAAACCTCGTAAATTTGGTGTGTTCTCTCCTTTATTGTTCTTTATTCGATTTTTACATTGTGTTTCAATATTCAATAGTTTGACGGGTTTATTCGCTGTGCAACCTTTGGTGGTTTTGATCTTGACATTTTAGGTCAATTTTGAAACTACGTTCGTGTGGGAAATAACCCGATTTCCCCAACACATCGGAAATTCTCACTTAATGTTAAAATATTATACAACGATATAATTAGAGATTTGACGATGAAAAAATTAGATTACAAAACTCAAAAGATTAATTGGTCTTAAAAGACATAGTAGGGTGAATTGGAGAACAATATGATACAAAAAGGATTGAACCCGTTCCACAACCCTTTCAATGGATTTCCCATGTAATACAATAGCTACTAAATTACTTAGTAGAACATGTATTGCTTGGGGAATCCTTTTAAAGGGTAATTGTTGCCTTTATATATTTATTTGTTGTTTGTACTCTCTAGTTTTAGTTTTTAATCTAATAGTTTGTATGGTATCTTTGATATTGAGAGATTAATTACAATAAATGTTTTACTTTTTTTTTTGTTGAAATATTTTATGAAATTTATTACGAGTAGAAAGATAAAATTTTGAACATTCTAAAATAATGTCGTCTCAAAAATTTTTATTTTAGTTACGTAAAAAGAGAATATCATTTCTTTTCTTCTACCTTCCATTCCATCATTAACTTCAATCCAAACATGAGCTAAGGTAGAAATGAACTGGTTATTTATTTATTTATTATTATTACCCGTTTCTATATAAAAAAAAGTATTATATGATAATTAAATATCATTATAAAGAGATAAGGGATGAGAGAAGAAATCAACATGGTTTATTGGACAGAGAAAGTGCATTAATCTTTCATCATTGGACCATAAATCTGTACTTTATGAGAGAAGAAAACAAAAAGATGACTTGAAAAAGGGGATTGTTCCCTTCGCGAATTCCCATTATCAACAAATCCAATGAAACTTGGGATACATTTTACACAATCGTTGAAAGCAATTCTTATTCAACACATAATACATATTGCACTTAAAAAAACAATATACTAACATAATTTATTAACATATAACACCGAATTTTGATGAAATAAATATTAAGATGGCTTATAATTATTATTTTAGAATGCCATTTCAAATAACTTATATATATTATTAACAATATCTTCTTTTATTATTAAAGTATAATACAACAAAGACTACACAATATTAACATGTTTAATCTTTAAAAAATCTAACAACTATCAACAATTTCTCTGTCTTTGTCTAAAACTAGACATAATATTGATATCAGGGTGAAAATTTGAAAAAACCAAAAAAAAAAAATTATTAAAAGGCACAATTTTAAAATGATACCAATATATTTATATTATTGATTTAATGTTCTTTTATAGTAGTTGATCCTAAAAATATTGTAAATATGTCATATTATAAATATAGTTGGAAATGTAACAATAAAAATTGGGCAAATTACGTTTAGTACCTGAATTATTACTTTTGTTTTATTTTGGTACTCATGTTTCATTTTTTTTTCTTTAAAATTATACTTAACGGTTAGTTTATGTTTCCTTTTCCTAGCCAACAGTTAAAAACTTAACGGTAATGTTAATGTGTTACCATAAGGTAATGCCACATCATAACTGATTTTTTTTAACTTAACCGTTAAAAAAATGTCACCATAACAGTAATTTTGTTAATTTTTTAACAACGTGATATCAAATTGAAACCTAAACTAAACATTAAATTTAATTTTAAAAAATAAAATTTGAATATCAAAACGGAACAAAAATAACAATTTAAGTATTAAAGGTATAGTTTACATATAAAATTTTCAATCAAAGCCCATGACTTGTTAGCCTCAATTTCTTAAATTGAGCAGACATAACAGCATTCTCTGCTGTTTGAATCGTTGTGATTCATCAACCACGACGTGTGTATTTTCAACTGTAAAGAGTAATTTTGTCCCCCCTCCCAAAAGAAAATCCTTGTAGAAAAATAAAGTATTTTCCATCTTTCTTTTTCTTTTAACACATTAAATTCCGATCGGCTCCTCCTGTAATTTTCTCACCTTATTTTTGTTTCTTAGCCATGAAGTGAACTCGGAAGGTGTTTATAAAATATAAGCAATTAGTCATTTTCCGATTTTTCGGGATTAATTTTAATTTATAGCTCAGCTTAGAAAGAAGATGAATTCCTTTAGCTGATTACGCTAATATCTGGGAATCAAATCGATTCTCTAATTACCAACCACAACTAATTTCTTATTTATCAAATTGTCAACATGGTGCATAGAAAATGGAGTAATTAAACACTAATTAATGGCTTTAACTAACCATAATCGCCCCTAAGATATTTTGCTGTAGATTATGACATCTTAAGGAAGCTTTAGATGTATATAAAATATCCATATTCTCGGACATTTAAATACTTAATATATATTCTGACTGCAATACGTCGGAAATGAAGTGAAAAATGTTAGGTTTGTTAGTTGAATTTAGAACTCCGAGTTAAGAGCGGATGTAGTTTAGATTCTGTATCAGGAATATCTATGTTACCAGATTACAGTTGATGCTAGTCCCCAATCATGTAATTAAATTTAATATTGATGTGATTTCTACAATTACATTTAAAATCGATTCGATTGAAACATTAAAAGAAATACCAATAATTTTTAATAATGTAATTCAAAAGGTACGAAAGAACACATAGTATAACAGTTTCAGATTCATGATGAGGAAGCAAACCATGATTCCTACAATTAGGGGTTGTAATTATCCCAGAGACACTTTCCCTTAAAAACACGAAACAATAACCTAAGAAAAGCAGATTTCAAGTACTTTAATTAATAACCTAAGAAATATCGTCTCTCCTCAAAAGGTACGAAAGAACACATAGTATAACAGTTTCAGATTCATGATGAGGAAGCAAACCATGATTCCTACAATTAGGGGTTGTAATTATCCCAGATACACTTTCCCTTAAAAACACGAAACAATAACCTAAGAAAAGCAGATTTCAAGTACTTTAATTAATAACCTAAGAAATATCGTCTCTCCTCAAAAGGGATTTATAAGCACCATTAACATTAATTTTAACAAATTATAGCATAAAAGAGACTCTGGTCAAGTAATTCTTCAACTAGGGCCATTAATTCCTGCATGGACTCACTCCTTTGAGAGTTTCCCTTGGTTGCAGCACTCCGAATCCCTTCACATCAGCCCTTTTCATCATCCTCAATCTCTTGCACGATTCAATAAACATCCTGTAAATTGTTAATTAAATTTATTAATTATTCGTTATGATATCATAACTGTTATTTTCTAAAAAATTAAATTCTCTAACTGTGCATGCGTTTACCAAAAGTCCAGCTTGAATGATAAATAATAGCCTATTTATTTACTCAAGAACCAGATATTAAATATCTTTCTTTTTCATAAAAAAGATAATCCTGAAATTACCGACTCACAAAAAGATTATTGGTAATGTAAGTCATTAGTAGCAATAGATCTGAGGAATTTGCTATGGCCAGCAATGTTTCCTCCCTAATAATTTCGGTTCATCATTTAAGGGCAAATATGGTAGTCAAAACCGACATCATCATATGGATTTCGCTGGTGTCGGTTCAATCTCGTGGAACCCAATTAGTACGGTGTAAAAGTCACACACATATGCATGTATTCATCTCTAGAAATTTACAATTTAATATTCCATATTATTTATTTCTATTTTTCTCTTGCAAACCAGAACGAGTTAAAGATAAAATTAAAAGCTAATATAAAATAATACAATAGAATTACTAAGGTATTAATAATTTTTTTAAAATTTAGAAGATAAAATTTATTTTATTTAATTTTAAAATTAATAAAAATATAATTAATATTTAAACTAAAAAAATAAGGATCTAACTTTTTTTTTTATAATATCCATATCCGATTTATTGATTGACTAATTTCAAAATTAGGAAGGACCTTAAAATGATTAGACTCGCAAAAGATGGGAAACCAGATTTGATATTTTTTTAAATTTCAAAAGTATGAAGGTCCTAAAAAATAATTTGACCAAAGTTATTTTTGAAGGCACAAACCCTCTTATTCATAAGGTAGCTTTCATCCCTGCCTGCAAACTACGGGAAACAAGGGTGTGATATATAGCCATATAGGTGAGGAGCATGGGTCTAAGAGGGAAAGAAAAATAACAAGGTTTGCGATAAATAGAGTGTGATCATGTATTGAAGTTTTGAAATTCAAATCCATCCATTTTGAAGGGTATATTAACTAGTTTGTGAAAATAAAATGGTAGTTGGAAGAACAAACTTACTCCCAGGGAACATCTCCTGCTAACATCCAGTCTCCATCTTTGTCTTCATATATGGGCACGAATTCACAGCTGTCTGCATCCCTTAACGCCTCTCCTGTTATCATTCATATACCAAAATTAATTAAACCCTTTTCTCTTAATACCAAATAACAAAATATTATTGCATGTTTCAAACATGTTTTTTTTAATAATACAGGATAATTACGTGATTACATCTGTTTAAAATCTTCTTTAGTCATTGATAAATTACACACATACTCCATCTTAAAAATACTAACATTCTATTTATCACTTGTTCGTTTCATGGGTTCAAACATGTTGAATACTATATAAACCCTGGTTGGTTTTACACAGTGAAAAATAGCTTCACGATGATGGAAAAAACTCACCGAAGAGCTTCTCCAATTCCGTGGCAAGATCAGAGTAGCCTTTGTGCAATGCTAGATCGATTTTGCGAAGGAAAGGAGCACCATCCATGCTAACTTTAACGTAAAACTTTGATGTTTTAGACCCGTCTTTATCACCGAAGCTGTTCTTTTTCCGATACGAGCATATCGGCGGCCACCCCACGACTTGACTCTTGCCATTGTTCTTCCCATTTTCATCCTCCTCTGTAATCTCCGAGAACACCCTTTTCTTCTCATTTTTTTCGATCCCATTACCTCCGGGGAGACCCAACCGCAGCTCCGTGATTTCGAACCCGAGACCTTCCTTAGCCATTTTTTGGGTGTGTTTGTCCGATGAAAGCTTTGCACTTGTTTAAGTTTCTACCACTTGTGGTTTTGAAGACGATATATTGGCTTTTTGTAGTACTAGCACATAAGAAAAGGGAAATGAAAGACTAGTTTTTTATACCAAGGTAGGGAAATAGTATGAGCAATTACATGGTCAACTAATATGGCTTAGTGGTCGGTCACATGAGAGGCAAAAGTGGGGAACTTTACCGGCACCATAAGTTGGACATGGGGACATGATCCTAAGGGCTGTCTAATTTCATGAGCGTTATTCGATTTGGTGGGAACTCATCCTGGCCATTTGATTTCGTGATTTTGGAACAGGTCCATGTGATTTCATATCATGCATGCCCCATGTTTTTTTTCCTTAATAAATTATGGAAAGACCCCCCAAAAACAACGCCATGTAGGGATGGCAAAAAAAACTCGAATCCGTCGGGAAAATCGAATTAAACAAATCGGGTTTGGGATGATAAACGGGGACGGGAAAAAACTGAATGTTTTAAACGGAGACGGGTTTGGTAATCCCCACCCCGATTACCTGCATACCCGGCCCGATAAATATTAAAAATAATTATTATATATATATATATAATATTAATAAATTTAATTTAAATTAAAAATATATATATAATATTTATATATTTAATTTAAATATATAACAGTTTATGCTAAATGGAGATACCCGTTTCCCTGCGATTTTCTCTGATTACCCGATGGGAATCCCTGTTTAAATCCCCGCAGGTTTTTAAGCGGAGATAGGTACGGATTTTTTAAATGGGGACGGAGACAGAGAATCAATCCCCGACCCGAAACCGCCCCGTTGCCATCCCTAACGCCATGGTATAGGGGGCAACTATGTTGTTTTTTTGCAAACATGAAACACGCGTGTATACTTGGATAGCCATGTATTGTAATGTTGCGCACCATGCATAGCCGGTAATGCCATGCTTTTATTTACAAATGCCATAGGTAAATTTGGAATACTGCCCACTTTAGTGAGACTTTGAAATTAAGTAAATACTTAAAATTTTTCATCCTTAATGTAAAAAAAAAACATACATCATTATATAAAAAAAAGGCATGCATATATACATATTTACTAATGATATATCAAATAATAATTTTTTTATATTAATTTAAGTTTACCTTCTATAACTTACATACTTACGGGTTAAGGTTTCTTATTCTATATTGAGATTTTATGTTTGATATATTAATGATCCAATAATAGAAAAACAGAATTTAAAAGTTATATTTACATTTATTTTATTATATACAATATAGTATTTTTAAAATTCAAATTTCATTTTTAAAGTTTAGGAGCTAAAAAATAATCTAATGATTAATAATAACTCTATATTTAATTTGTTATTTTTTTACATAATATGGATTTTAAATTTGTAACATACGATCTTATATCAAATATAAGATTTTACAACAGTTCTGAAGTGTCAACAGCACAAAACAATGTGATATCATCAAGATTTGCTCACATGAATAATTCAATATCTAATTTGATGCCATTGGGGGTGCATAAATGATTAGTAAAATATACGGATTTTTGAGACAATGATCAATGTGTTCTGCAGAGAAAGCAAGAAAGTTTCAGTATTGCCCACCATTAATTATAATTAACATGCATAATAAGGACCTATTTGGTATGCATGCATGCATAAACATGATCATCAATTCATCATGAAGAATTATAACAAGCATACATGATACATGCCGTCATCGTTCACATTTGATTGATATTTGGTTATATAGTTGAACTTGAGCCACTAATGTAACATCATGTTTGAAAATATAGAATTCCATGCACTAGAAAACGATGTGAAGGCAAGTAATAAAAGGAATACTTGAATAGTAAATAAAAAATCATTTAGATATAAAACTATTGGTGGAGGTTGTAAACATAACTGTTGGTAGTATAAATGCAGTAGAAAATTCGAACATAATTTATCTCCAACCATTGTTAACGTATTTTAAACACTAAAAAAATACAACATAACAGCGTAATAAATTATTATAGTTCTCTCATCAAGAACTACCCTAAACATGATCTTAAATTCATGAGCATGAACTAAAGTAATGGAGATGCGAGAGGAAGTTAGAAAACTACCGCGTAACAAGGTAATAAAATTGAAATAGTTTAACTTTTATCTTTTTGAAATTGGCCTTCATAGCACCAAGCACGTAAAGCAAACGTGGAAGATGCAGCTATTCAACAGAGGCAAGTAGGACCTGATGTGAAGTTTGTTGTAACGGAACTTCCGGCAGAGACAACTCCAATATACGAATTCTGGGCTCCAGACTGCCCATTAACACGTTAAAGACTGTTACCAGTTACACGCCAGCAATGCTAATCTACCTGGAAACTGCTTGTTCCTTTTTCAAACTTGATAGAATTTCTTTTTCTACGGGGAAAATAAAGTGCTTTTTCCTATGCAAAAATATCACATTTAACAAGTCATATAAAAAAGTAAGTGAAATTAAAGAATTTTTCTGACCAAAAACGTTTAGAGAATCTACACAACATATATTGTCATCTGCAACACGGAAGACACAAAATCCATATGATTCCTTGGTTATATACAATCTAGAAATGGTCCCTAAAAACAGCTTGTTTAAATCCATGGAGCATGTATAGTAGTAGTTAGTATCACGATTATTGCTACTCAAAAGCATAATCATGGAGGAATCTATTCTTAGCATTAGGCCCGTAAACAAAGCGAACGCGCACGAACGGATGTATGTTCATGTTCTTTCATTTAATAAATAAACAAACACGAACATAAACGAACAATTTTTTTTGTTCATGTTCGTTCATTAAGGAATATAACTTGTTCATGTTCGTTCATTTAATAAATAAACGAACATTAACGAACGAACATAAACGAACACAATAAACGAACATAAACGAACAAAACAAACACACACAAAAAACTTATTCGAACACAACAAACGAATGTAAAAAAAGTAAACAACAATAATAACAACTTAAAATTCATTAATATAACCTGCAACTTTAGAATTAATTTGTTCGAATACGACAAAAACATTCATAAATCATAAATAAGCTATATGAACATAATAAAGTCTTAAAGTTAATTTGTTCAACAAAACAATCTTCTTGAAATCCAAACAACTTCAATAATCTTCGCAACATATTCAACTTGCCCTCTGTTCGAACATAAATGAACATAAATGAACGAACATAAACGAACATATAATCGAACGTAAATGAACGAACGAGCCCTTTGTTCATGTTCGTTCATTTAATTAAACGAACGCAAAATCTTGTTCATGTTCGTTCATTTAATAAATAAACGAACTTCCCGCCGCATAGTTCATGAATAGTTCGCTGAACGTTCAGTTCATTTAGAGGCCTACTTAGCATCACATAAATGATCCTCTTGAGTTCAAACGACAAAGAAATATACTTGCATACCTACATTATTGTTGGTGGGGGGAATACAGAACCAAATAAAAAATACAACAAATTTTGAAGTTGGTGCATGCACATGACATTTGCCATGTGCACCAAACGAAGCATCTTTCTATATTTGATTCAGATCATACGCGTAACCACTTTAAATAGAAGGTAAGGGAAGATAAATATACTAGACTTCTTGAAACAACCGAGTTGGTTATTAGAAAAATATATGTCTTATTGGTAGGGTTACTACAACTGAAGACCAAGACAATGTCCTTCTGTGGAGATTAGTTTGACTGAAACACAGTCTTTTTTTTTTTGTTGTTGCACATTCTTCTCTCTTGAGCCAACAGGTAATCCTACTCTCTTAGAATTCACGTTACCAGCCTTCAATACATTGAATTTTTTTTAAACAGTTAAAATAAGAAAAAGAAACGATAAACATTGGGATTTGTTAATTATCAGTTTAAATTAAGGTTATATGTATAACACGTGTTGATTATTCCTACTCATTTCAGACAACATTAAACTCTGTAATATAATGATAGAATTTTTCTAAAAACCAGACATTATTTATGCCTGGGATAATACTATTGAAAGATTTGTGCATTTTTTAAATTTCATAGCACTATAGCTTTAATATATATTTTCAACAAAAAAATAATATATATATAAAAGATAGATGGACTGATCAAAATGGTTGTAGGCATGGGCCAGACAAGTTTTTAACCTCTCTCCCCTTTCGTCGTCTTTACCAATCACCGGCCACTGATTTAAGGAATTTAATTGTTTGCAACCGATAACTTCAGCTACTAAGCGGATCTAAACTCTAGGTTAATTAAAATTAAATAAATATGATTAATTATGTCAACAAGGCAGCATATAGCGATTTTTTATTATCTTAACTTTAGGAGCTAATATTGAATTGAGTTAAGTAGAATAAAAATAATTGGGTTAATTGAATAAATGAGAATCAATTTATAATTTAAATTTTATACTTTTAGTCCAGTTGAATTCATAAAACTTGATCAAGTTAGATTAAATATGTTTATCCAAGTTTCTACTTAAATTTAATATATTTATTTATAATGTTATAATATTTTAATATTAATTGGTTTCGATTTAAAACTACTTTAACTATATAGGCTTAATAAAAAAATGGCTAAATTATACTTTTTTCTCATTTAGGTGTTAAAATTTTATTTTTAGATAAATTTAAGTACCTAACAGTATAAATATTATCATTTTAAGTGTCTCATCCATAACAGTCGTTAAAAAATTCTGTTAAATAACATGTGTGAAGTTCATTTTTCTTTGAAATTTTTATTTTTGAAACTTTAAAAAAATACAAAAAAAATCAAAATTTTCTTTCAAATCGAATAAAAAACTCAAAATCCTAAAATTCATAATTTTAATCTTTATTTCAAGCCGTCATCCGTCATCTCCAGCCGCTGTGTCTATTGCCGCCCATCCACTAACCATCATCTTTTACGTCATCCCCAACCCCTAAATACATAAACTCATAAATCCATAATCTTAACGGACGAGATCTTAGATCACTTACCCTAAATTTATTGGATGGAGAATTTAATGGAATTAAAGAGGGAGGGGAGAACGACGAGGGTAGGAGGAGGGACGTAGGGGGGTTGGAAATAATATTTTTAAAA